GAGTCTCAGCTCTGTAGGTCTGAGCTTGTGGCCCTCAGGGCTCAGCGAAAATGGCCAAAACGAAGGCCTTATTCGCCATGGCGAGGGACGAAAACGGTGAAGATTTTCTAACTTTTTGTTGATGATTATATAACTTCAATCCGTCCAGAGCGGGAAATGGCGTGGTAGAGCTGTGTGTGATGAAAAACCAGGGACTAGTTCGAATTTATAAATGAAAAGTAAAATTAGTGGCGAAACTTTGGCCCATCATGGCCGACTTCCTGTTGGTCCCAGACATGTGCTTAGACCGGCTTTTATGCTCGTCTCATAGAGATCAATCACTCATCCGAATTTTGTGCACCTACTCCAAAATATGTAATCCTGCCTCCAATAGAAATGGCAAATTTTGAATTTTCAAGGGGGCGCTATTGATTCGGCTTTTGTCGGACAATCTCGAAACGTCCGTTTTATCAAATTTTTCGCCGGACCGGTCGTTTTAGACCAGCCATGTGCAGACTTTCGTGCATGTCTTCAGGGTCAAAAATCGAATTGTTTCGGCGGAAAAAGAATAATATGAAACCACCGAATAACAATTTTCATTAAAGCCGCAAGCGGCGATGAAAGGCCTCGCCCCTCTTGCGACCGCCTCCTGGGCGCCGGTCCCACAAGCGTCACGCCAACGAATTGGCAGCCCGATCTGACCAGGATTACGTATATAAAAGCTCATTTATATGATAAAGTGCGTCCCTAGTGGTCACCTCCGGGACATGCACCCTCTACGTAGAGTAGTATTTTGCTCGTGCAGATGTAAAGATTTGATTTTGCAACTTTGGTGAAGATCGGAAAAGTTTAGGTCAGAAGCCTTCCATAGGTGGCGCTGTAGAGTCATATTAGGTGTGTGTTTTCACACCATTACTCTCAGGCCATTACCAACTGTTAGCGATGTGAGTTTTAGCTCTGTAGGTCTGAGCCTGTGGTCAGGAGAGCATCAAACATGGAGAAATTCCCCGCTACCTCGCATGAAAACGATAACAAAATTCTAACCTTTATGCGATGATTGCATAACTTCAATCCGTCCAGATGGAGAAATGACATGGTAGAAGTCTGTGCGATGAAAATCCAGGGACTAGTACGAAGCCAAAAATGAGACAAATTGAACTGCCTGTAGGTGGCGCTGTTGCACTCACAGTTGTGTGTTGCATATCGTTGTGTTCAGGGTCATACGCTGTATTTCTGAATTCATTTTTAGCCTCATCGGACAAAGATTTTGCCCTAAAAAGCTCATTTATTCACTTTAGGGCGCCCCCAGTGGTCAGGTGTGGGACGTACAACTTTTTCGTAATGTAATGTTTTGCTCGTCTCGGTCCAGAAAATACACTCAGCGATTTTCGGGCCGATCCGAGCACTAGTGCCCTATTACTTTCCGACAGGTGGCGCTAAAGAGCTCAAATTGGGCGAATGATTTTAGTGTCATTGCGTTCAGGCCATAACCTAATATTACTGATGTGAGTCTCAGCTCTGTAGGTCTGAGCCTGTGGCCCTCAGGGCTCAGCGAAAATGGCCAAAACGAAGGCCTTATTTGCCATGGCGAGGGACGAAAACGGTGAAGATTGTCTAACTTTTTTTCGATGATTATATAACTTCAATCCGTCCAGATTGGGAAATGACGTGGTAGAACTCTGTGTGATGAAAAACCAGGGACTAGTTCGAATTTGTAAATGAAAAGTCAAATTAGTGGCGAAACTTCGGCCCCTCATGGCCGACTTCCTGTCGGTCCCAGACATGTGCTTAGACCGGCTTTTATGCTCGTCTCATAGAGATCTATCACTCAGCCGAATTTCGTGTACCTACTCCAAAATATGCAATCCTGCCTCCAATAGAAATGGCAAAATTTGAATTTTCAAGGGGGCGCTATTGATTCGCCTTTTGTCGGACAATCTCGAAACGTCCGTTTTATCAAATTTTTCGCCGGACCGGTCGTTTTAGACCCCCCATGTGCAGACTTTCGTGCATGTCTTCAGGGTCAAAAATCGAATTGAAGATGCGGAAAAAGAATAATAATAATTAAAGCCGCAAGCGGCGATGAAAGGCCTCGCCCCTCTCGCGACCGCCTCCTGGGCGCCGGTCCCACAAGCGTCACGCCGACGAATTGGCAGCCCGATCTGACCAGGATTACGTATATAAAAGCTAATTTATATGATAAAGTGCGTCCCTAGTGGTCACCTCCGGGACATGCACCCTCTACGTAGAGTAGTATTTTGCTCGTACAGATGTAAAGATTTGATTTTGCAACTTTGGTGAAGATCGGAAAAGTTTAGGTCAGAAGCCTTCCATAGGTGGCGCTGTAGAGTCATATTAGGTGTGTGTTTTCACACCATTACTCTCAGGTCATTACCAACTGTTAGTGATGTGAGTTTCAGCTCTGTAGGTCTGAGCCTGTGGTCAGGAGAGCATCAAACATGGAGAAATTCCCCACTACCTCGCATGAAAACGATAACAAAATTCTAACTTTTATGCGATGATTGCATAACTTCAATCCGTCCAGATGGAGAAATGACATGGTAGAAGTCTGTGCGATGAAAATCCAGGGACTAGTACGAAGCCAAAAATGCGACACCTTGAACTGCCTGTAGGTGGCGCTGTTGCACTCACAGTTGTGTGTTGTATATCGTTGTGTTCAGGGTCATACGCTGTATTACTGAATTCATTTTTAGCCTCATCGGACAAACATTTTGCCCCAAAAAGCTCCTTCATTCATTTTTCCGGCGCCCCCAGTGGTCAGGTGTAGGACTTACAACTTTTGCGTAATGTAATGTTTTGCTCGTCTCGGTCCAGAAAATACACTCAGCGATTTTCGGGCCGATCCGAGCACTAGTGCCCTATTACTTTCCGACAGGTGGCGCTAAAGAGCTCATATTGGGCGAATGATTTTAGTGTCATTGCGTTCAGGCCATAACCTAATATTACTGATGTGAGTCTCAGCTCTGTAGGTCCGAGTCTGTGGCCCTCAGGGCTCAGCGAAAATGGCCAAAACGAAGGCCTTATTCGCCATGGCGAGGGACAAAAACGGTGAAGATTTTCTAACTTTTGTTTGATGATTATATAACTTCAATCCGTCCAGATTAGGAAATGACGTGGTAGAACTCTGTGTGATGAAAAACCAGGGACTAGTTCGAATTTATAAATGAAAATTCAAATTAGTGGCGAAACTTTGGCCCATCATGGCCGACTTCCTGTTGGTCCCAGACATGTGCTTAGACCGGCTTTTATGCTCGTCTCATAGAGATCTATCACTCATCCGAATTTCGTGTACCTACTCCAAAATATGCAATACTGCCTCCAATAGAAATGGCAAATTTTGAAATTTCAAGGGGGCGCTATTGATTCGCCTTTTGTCGGACAATCTCGAAACGTCAGTTTTATCAAATTTTTCGCCGGACCGGTTGTTTTAGACCCCCCATGTGCAGACTTTCGTGCATGTCTTCAGGGTCAAAAATCGAATTGTTTCGGCGGAAAAAGAATAATAATAATAATAATATAATATGAAACCGGTGAATAACAATAGGCCTCCCCAATACTTCGTATTGGCTCGGCCTAATTACATTATATACAGAAAAAAAAAATGACATTCATAATGGGTATGTTAAGAAATAAGGCATTGTATATGAATTTATGACTTTAATGACTGATATTAGAGAGAAAGAGAATAAATATTGAAAGTTAGGATATAGGGGGGCGTTAAAGGCCGTTTTTGGGATAGAAATTGACTTATAGCTTGCCAGAAAGGTGTGATGAGTGGGCATGAGTAGAATAAATGTTGAATAAGTTCTGGTACTGTGTTGCAAAAGGAGCAGTTTGGATCTATGTTTATGGATTTTGATACTTCAGAGTTTGTGGGGTAAATATTGTGTAGGATTTTGAGATGAGTTTCTCATATTTTGTTGTTGATGGGGAATTGAAGGGGTAATAGCCATGTTTTATGCCAGTTTATATTGCAGAAGGTGGAGTTCCAAAAAAATTTTTCTCTGGGTTGAATGCTGTTTGTGTTTTGGAATGTTTGTCAGATATGTTTATTGTTGCATTTGGGATTTGTGAAGACCAGTCCATTGAGAAAAAGCTTTGTGGTCATTATGGGTTGTTGTGATGTTGTGATGCTCTCATTAAGTGTAATAATCCATTGGGGATCCATTGTGTGATAGCTTTGTATTGTTTGTACATGATGAGAAACTGCAACATTGAGAGAAAATTATCATAACTTAAAATATTGCCATGGATGTCTATTGAAATTGGAAACTGTAATTATACCTTTTTCAATCCATGTTGATTCGAAGATTGATTTTTTGCCTTTTAAGATGTATTCATTATTCCAGATGATGCAAGTGTGGGGGGAGAAATTGTGAATATGACAGAGCTTCCATGCTGTAAGGGCTTGTTGATTGTTATTGTCAGGGATGAAGCAGACAGAGACGGATCGTGGTGCGCCAAACTCTGGAAGTTTATTTAAGTTTCTCTCAAGTTCCAGTGGTTTCCCTTGCTTCTTTCTCTCAGACAGAATAAAGGCAGTACACAGTTTATATAGTCATTGTCACGTCACACATCGAAAGACGTACGTGTCACAGAGACAGTCACATCATAGTCAAAATAATCAGAGTCCTTGTACAGTCCTGCACGTAGGCCATATTGCTATCTAATACTAACATTATATTGGGAGTTTATTGACATTATAATTGCATTTTAATATGAAATGAAGACCACCGATTTTGTTAAATATGAGGTTGGAGATGAGGTACCATATTGAATTATGGTTTTTTAGTGCCTCTTGAATCCATTTGATTTTGAAGGTGTAATTCATATCGATGAAATCGAGCATTTCAATCCCCCCTTCACCTTTTGAAACTGTTAGTATATTGGTTTTGAGATTATATTTCTTGTTTTTCTAGATAAATAATAATTGATGTCCTTTGCAGTGGAGTTGTTTACGAAGAGTGAGGGCAGGGTAGACAAGTCTTGAGATGCCTTAATCACTCCACTGGCTTCCTGTTGAGTACAGAATAAAGTTTCAAATTCTTCTCTTGGGATACAACGACATAAATGGCTTGGCTCCCTCTTATCTTCAAGACATGTTTTAATGTCTTATCAACCAAGCCGAGCACTGCGCTCGCAAAACGACAGACGTCTGGTGGTCCCTAAGGTTTCAAAAAGCACTGTCGGCGGCAGAGCATTTAGCTACCAAGCTCCTATACTGTGGAATCAGCTCCCCACGCACGTTAAGGAAGCAGACACAGTCTCTACATTTAAGACCAGGCTTAAAACACTCTTTTTCAACTTAGCATTTGGTTAGGTTGTTTGTCCGGTCAGGTTTCGTCCAGTATTGGAGTCTGCGTGGGACCCGGTCCGCTGCATCTTCAACCCTACGTTCTAGGCTAGGCTAAAACAGTCCTTTTTAGTTAGCATATGGCTAGGAAGGTAAGACTCGGGGAAGGCTAAACTGCTTAGACTGTCAGTCAAGCTGCATATAGGGAGTTAGTTTGCTGGGAGAAGTATGGTAACTTGAGCACTATCCTCTCCTCCTTCCTACATTATCTGTTTGCATTATTTGGATTTTGACTGTAGTTTGTTCAATGCTATTCACCCGTTGTCCCATTGTCTGTTTCATGGTACGATGACGGGACCTCTGAACCTGGCCTCCTCCATCTACACCTGTGGACTGCCCTGCCCGACCCGCTTGGGAGTTCTTCAGTCCTGCACCGGACCTGTCCTGTCAACGGCCACTGGTCCATGTTCTGTAGCTTAGGTCCTATATCTATAGCCCGTCCGTCCGGGAGGAGCGGATCCCTATCTCAACTTGTGGGTCTCCCCAAGGTTTCTCACTTTTTTCCCACTGGGTTTTTATTGAGTTCTTCCTTGCCAATGCAGGAGGGTCTGTTGGAAAGTTAGTGTCCAACAAAAAGGATGTAGTGATTATCCAGGACACTTTCACATTCTACAACATATTTGGACATTTTTTTTTTTTTGACAAGTGCTCTATATTCTTTATGTGTTTTAACTGTTGATTCTCTGATCTGTGTTGGTGATTTCAATGGTTTCGTTAAGTCTGATGACTTCTGTTGTGATTTAGGGCTATAAAAGAATAAATTGTATTGAATTGTAATGTATGCTTTCCGTTTTGGACAGTAAAGGCGCTTGCACACTGAGTCCGAAATTTTTGGATGCGTATTTTGAATGCGTCATCCGAAAAAATTCGTTACGCACAATAACCTTGCACACTGCATCCGATGCGTTTTTATTATTATATTCGTAACGGAATTTCGCTATCTGTGAGAGAAGATGGAGTCATCAAGCAGTGAGGAGGATTTTGTGTTGCTCTCAGTGCTTGAAAAAAGAAAGAAAAGAAAAAGGCGATACTGGGTCCACCCCATCCTCAGAAGTCGGGCAGAACGGGGAGAATGCCACCTTCTTACAGATCTGCGTGGTTATCCTGACAGATTTAAAAGTACATTTAGAATGTCTGTAGCACAGTTTGATGCGCTGCTGACAACACTTGCGCCGCACATCAGAAAGAAGACCACAAATTTCCGTGATCCGATTGGCCCTGAACAACGACTTGCAGTGTGTCTTAGGTAAGCACGCATACACACACACGAATACACATACACACGGATACACGAAAACACACACATGGACATGCACACACAGACACACACACACACGCGGACACACGAACACACACGGGCAAGCACACACAGACACACACACGGACATACGAACACACATGGACAAGCACACACATACACACAGACACACACACGGACACGCACACACAGACACACACACGGACTTTATACTATAGGGCCCACAGATAACACAAATACATCAGATAAATCCCATCATCACACTGTTCCCACTGAGGCAAGGCCAAGTGTAGGTCTTGCTTGAAATAACATTAAAATAATCCATAATCCAATGTATTCCCTGCTGCAAACATACACATCTTTGTTTTATTAGAAAATTCACTAACTATAACTTTCTTTATACACTTTGATTATAGATATCTCTGCACAGGCGACTCTTTTACCACCATCGCCAATAGCTACAGGATGGGCATCACCACTGTGGGGAAGATAGTGAGGGAGACCTGTGACCAAATCTGGAGGCAATTCCAGCCAGTCTACCTGCCCACACCAACAGCAGACACCTGGAAGACCACAGCAAAGAGGTAGTCTATTCTTATTTTACTTTGAGCATTGGATTGTTCATAATTAAGAATGTTTAGTGTTTTTATTTTGTTTAATTTTAGTATCCTCTTAACTCATGCCCTCAGGACTAATCAATTAATTAATAAACACTTATTTTTTCGTAGGTTCAATGAAAAATGGAACTTTCCCAATTGCTTTGGTGCCTTGGATGGGAAGCATGTGCAGATTGAGGCCCCTGCAAACTCAGGCTCCCTCTTTTATAATTACAAAGGGACCTTCTCCATAGTCCTCCTGGCGTTAGTGGACGCGGATTACCGTTTCCTCGCCATTGATGTGGGGAGCTATGGTGGGAACAGTGATGGGGGCATATTTGCAGACTCTGCTCTGGGACGAGCCCTGCAGCGTGGGACACTGCATGTTCCTCCTCCAGCGGAGCTCCCGTCTGCACCTGAACTGGGGAAGGTCAACCATGTGATTGTAGCAGACGAGGCTTTTCCCATGAAACCGTACCTTCTCCGTCCGTACCCTGGAAGGCGTCTTGAAGAAGACAAACGCATCTTCAACCTCCGCTTGTCCAGAGCGCGTCGGATCTCAGAGAATGTGTTTGGGATCATGGTCCAGCGCTTCAGGGTTTATAAAAAACCGATGGAGGTGAACCCTGACCTGGTGGACAGTGTGGTGAAAGCAACCTGTGTGTTGCACAACTACCTGCGCCACGGAGCATTGGACCAAGCCCTCCAGGAGGAGCATCAGGGTGGCAGTGAGGAAGACAACTCTGCAACTGCAGGGAACAACAACCCCTGTCTGCTGGACCTCCAGAGGCCAAGGGGAAACCGGGCATCTGCAGAGGCTCTGGGCATTCGTGACACCCTTAAAAAGTATTTCACCTCACCTGCTGGCGAGCTACCTTGGCAGTATAGCCGTGTGCGCCGTGGACTCCATGGAAATCCATTATAGAACAGTAATTAAAACTAGATCAGCATTGTGATACATTTAAAATAAAAAGAACAAAACAAATAAATTTGTTTCTCTTTTAATTTGCATTCATTTAAAACAGTACAATCGTGAAACAACATTCATAAATACATAAAATACAGTAATCAATAAATAATTCTTTACTATCATATTACCATGGACAGAAGACGCCATCCCCCTGTGGACTCACCCCCCTGCAGGAAAATCAGAAGAACTGGTGCAAATATTATTATTTACATAAATATATACATTCATTACAATAAATAATTAAACCATTAAAAAAATCACAGGTGAAAGAAGTTTGGTTAGATAGGAGAGTTTTTGTGGGGTGAGTCTCCTCAAAGCGGGAGTCAAGCTAGAGAGAAAACAGGCCACCTCATCTGTCTGCTGCTCTTCCAACCTCTGGCGATGCTGCCGCTCTCTCTCCCTCTCCTCTTCTCTCACTTTCTCTCTCTCTTCTTTCCACTGAAGGTACCTCCCAATGCTGTCTTCACTATCTACTCTCTTCTTGCGCTTGGCACCGTTGCTACTGGAAGAAGCTGAGCCTGAGCTGTTCTCCATCTCTGGAACTCCCTCTTCATCGCTGGCCCTCACTATTTCAGTGCTGACCTCTCCCTCAATTTCTTCCTCCTCCTCTTCCTCCATCTCAATATTACTATCTGACCTGGTGAAAAGTAACTTGTGTAATGAAATGATACTGTATATTGAACTGCTCTTTGCTATTCTATTTTACAGTAGATAATACCTTCTCTTTGTTGTGGAAGATTGAAGGAAAGCCATTACGTCCATATACTTCCACTTCTTCTTCTTAATGGCAGCTTGTCCACTCCTGCCCTGTCCATCTCTTTTGTTGCGGACGTAGGTATCTCGCAGGTTCCGCCACATTTTCTTCACTGCTTCGACTAATACAAAACAAGACACATTTGTTAAAAGTAGCAATGTATGTGTGGTCTATGGTATCACTCTAATCAATGTATGAAGTGAATTATAAGATATATTTATTATTAATGAATATTTTGATATCCTGGACAGAATTTAGAATTATGTAAAGAAGTTATAGTATTGTAGTCAGCCAGCAACCATGTTTAATCACATCGTACAATTATTATAGTCAATGGATAACATTAGCACAGGGCAAACTAATATAAACTAATAATTCAGCACAAAGCACATATGTTAAAAGTAGACACGTAGGTGGCCTACGTTATTATTCTATTTATTGATAGTACGTGAGTAAACTCATTTCCAAGAGATGGGTGAACTTTGCAATGAGTTTGCTTTGCTTTATAAGCCACTTACGTGACCCGTCGGGCCCACTGACCTTTTAGCCTAGTGAAACCCAGCCCCTCATTAATCAGTGAGGGGGGGCAACACAGAATATACCTCCATGAATCTCTATATTCACCACTAAAGCCTTGAAGTACCTAATGTAATCATTCATTCGCTGGCTAGCTTGGCTACCGGCTGCTAGTTTTCCACGCTAGCGCTAACATGATAATAGCTGTTTTTAGCTGCCTATAAACCAATACATACCGTCCCCGATTCCAAGCTGCTCCGCGATCTCCTGCCATATCTTGTCCTTTAGCTCAGCATCTTTATCATAAAGTGGCTTTTGCTGGGAGACCAAATGAATGAGCCGCTCCGATGCCATGTTTACCTACGGCAGCTCGCTATGGACAAATAACCCTCAAAAGGCGCATGACCGGCATATGACGGAACGAAAATTCGTAAAAAAACGAAGCTGTTCCGAAAAATTTAATGTCGGACGAAAATTGGACTCAGTGTGCAAGCGCCTTAAGGCTCGGCCGAAAATGTAAATGTCTCTTTGTAGCCACATGTTAAAAATGGTATTAGTTTTCTTGATCCGGTGTGAAAAGTTTTGTTGTTGCCGTTTGTGGTTATTTTTACATATGTGGATTCCAAGATATTTTGTAATGGGTTTCACAGAGATGTTGCAGATATGGTAATCCTGTAGGTTATACAGAGGTAAAATTTCACATTTATGCTTGTTGAGTTCAAGACCAAAAGCTGCAGAAAAGTTGTCAATTAAAGAAATTGCTGGGGCGACTTGGAGTTTGTCTCTTCATAAGAGAGCAATGTCATCAGTTAATCTTATTTCTTTACTGGCTATGGTGATACCGTTGATGACTGATCTATTACGAATACACAATGAGAGTACTTTAACAACTGTTAAGAAAAGAAAGGGAGCAATGTGACAGCCCTGTCGGACCGATCTATGTATTGGAAATCTCGGCGTTGTGTTCGGATAAAGCATTATTGCTGCTGTTAATATTTTTGTAGAGCATTTTGATATTTTTAATACATTTGGGGCTAAAACCAAAAAGTTCAAGAGTTTTGAATAAGAAAAAATGTTCCACAGTATTGAGAGCTTTCGTCCCTCACCATGGCGAATAAGGCCTTCGTTTTGGCCATTTTCGCTGAGCCCTGAGGGCCACAGGCTCAGACCTACAGAGCTGAGACTCACATCAGTAATATTAAGTTATGGCCTGAACGCAATGACACTAAAATCATTCGCCCAATATGAGCTCTTTAGCGCCACCTGTCGGAAAGTAATAGGGCACTAGTGCTCGGATCGGCCCGAAAATCACTGAGTGTAATCTTTTTACAGAGACGAACAAAAAAATTACATTACGCAAAAGTTGTAAGTCCCACACCTGATCACTGGGGGCGCCTTCAAAATATGTGAATGAGCTTTTTGGGGAGAAATATTTGTCCGACGAGGCTAGAAATGAATTCACAAATACAACGTATGACTTTGAACACAACGATATGCAACACACAACTGTGAGTGCAACAGCGCCACCTACAGGCAGTTCAGGGTGTCGCATTTTTGGCTTCGTACTAGTCCCTGGATTTTGACCGTGTGTTTTTATAGCCAATGAGTGACAGTTTTTATTATCATGTTTTATGTTGACCAAGTTTTCAATTACTAATTTTGTCTGTGAATCAAAAATATATAGTAATGTAAAAGGGAGACCTATTGCCAAATTTAAAACATACAATTTGAAAGAATACACACTCAAAACTATCTTCAAGTGGTGTCTTGTGTTTTGCATTCAGGCTTATTGGTATTCAGCAGTAAAAAATTCATCAAAACTGATTTGTAGTATAAAATATTATATTATTCTGAAAGTCTGTTCAAGGCCAAAGTTTGTTTAGGGTGGATCATCTCTAGACCAAAAGACCTAGATTGAAATCATGTTTTTCAAACTTTAATTGCAGTTATTAACAGATTTAGCTGAAATTTACATTTTAAAATGCTTTTTGGCCTGGAAACAACCACACCGTGGATTAGATAAAAACACATTGATGGAGCTTTCATTGCTTTCAGTGGACATTTCCAAATAGGTGGTGAATAAGGGGGCTTTCAACATATGTGAACCATCTTTTGGCAGTTGAAAGCCCTGCCAAAAGAACCTGCCACTTTGCCCTGTTCAGTCCGAGCAGAAGTAGACCAGGGGAGAGCAAGGCAACAGTGAATCTCGCAAATCAGACCACAACATGCTGCCTTCATAATGCAGTACGTGCCTCTTAAAAGTTTTAATTCTCCTTGATCTAGAACATTTTTTGTCAGGTTTAAAACCAGAAACAAAAATGTTTTATTTTTACTGAAAGATCACACACAAGTAACAGAAAAATGCGAGGTGATGGTATAATGATGTAAGATTCTGTTATTATAAACAAACATTGGGGAAAGTTGGGCCTGCACAAGTTATCATACAGGTTTTTGTCTGAGTGCATTAATAGATAATTGAATCGGATAAAATAAAACTGGAGCTATAATTACACTTGGTTCGACGATAGTACTCTAGTGGTCAGCAGGAGGTACTTACAGATGTAATGTTTATATTGTACTTAAGCAGCAGAGAATATGAACAAAATAAACACTAGTATCAAAAATGTAAAACAACAGTTGTACATACATCAATCCTGCTGTGCCGCTAATGATTAATCTAGAAACAGTAAGTTGCGTTTTTGATGTTCATAAAGGTGTTATTCTCACGGAAAACGAATGCGGAAGTACCAATGCATTCGCTCGTTATTTTTCCTTCTTTGGCAGCCGCTGATTGGCGCATATCTCGTGAGGGCGGAGCCTGCGGCAAACAAGCTGCAGCCACAGCAAATGCTGCACACTCTCCATCAGCTCCCGTCACCTGAGCAGCGGCAATCGGTAAGGCACGATCTCATCACCCGCCTCTGCACCCCACTTCCATGACCACGCTTCATTTCACCCATATCAATCCGTATCTGCGTGTATGTTGCGTTCCAATTCACGTTATGTTCAGAATAAAGGCAAAAATATATTATGGTAGCATCGCACGTCTGTTTGCAATCAACATGTGTGGGATTGTTACAAGATGAGGGCGGATGGTGGAGCGCATAGGAACTAAGAAAAGACAAAAATAATGTTTGCCTAAAAGCTTATCATCTCACAAACACATTTGGCTCTCTGCGTTGTCATGGTATGTTTTAATTTACATTTAAATCCAGTTTGGTCGTTGCAGTATGTTTTGGTCGTCGCAGTATGTTTTTGTCCTTGAAACGCAGGCAAAGGCGCAAATGATTGTAGTAGTATGGTTCCACCTCATGGATCTACCTCCACCCATTCTACACTTCTTCTCACTATCCTTCACAGGTGTACATGAGACAATTCCATGGTTTTTATGCTGTTATAGGCAAGTAGCATTGTTCTTTTATTTTAAGAAAGGGTCTGACAGACAGGGATGGAGCCAAATGTTATGTTTGAAGTACTTCTAGTTTGTGGTACTTAATAGTTCTTTGAATATTAATTGTAGTTTTGTATATTCAGAGAAATGACCACTGCTGTTTATTTAAGTATAATATTATAATTGCATTGTAATTCATCGTTATTGGGCTCAAAAGAAAAAGGAAATAATGCTTATAATTACGAAAGTTGCACGGTAATATTACACACTACAATCTAAAGTAGAACAGTAAAAAATTGCATATTTCTTCAAAAAAATCTACTCCCATCTTCATTTTTCCTCCTCTTATCTTTCAAACAGTAGTGACGTGGCTCTGATCTCTAATGTATATTTCACATATCTTTAATCTCTGCTCTTATAGAACCTGATTTTTTCCAACAGTAGTGTGGGGAAAGCATAGGCATTCATTGATAATAACAGATTTATAGAAGATATCATTTGTGTATTGTAAAAGCTTGTCGATAGTTTTTTCATCTCATCACTTTTTTCTTCCCTGAAACTAACTCTTCGGTAGAAATGCCCACAAGAAAAGTGGCTCCTGATTTGAACATGAGCTAGCTGGAGCCACTTCTAGTATATAATCTATGGCTAGACTGCTAGAAACTGCTCTGTGAGAAACAAGAGCTCTAATTGGCTCAGTGCACTACAGTCTCACACAATTTAAGGTCAATATGCAAAATTAACAGATTAATTAAAGCAATTACATTTTAATCTATGCCTTAATTTAAAATCCAATAATTGTGTTTATTAACTCATTGTCTGCCATTGACGTGCAAGAATGCTTGTGTGCCATTGATGTGTTAAAACGACTGCGGTTTTCACTATTTTCATTTTCCCAGATGTCTATTATATCTAATATGTATGGGGATAAGCTTTAGAGCATATTTTATCGAGCCAGCAGGTGGCACCACCGCTCTCTGGATGTTTTGAAAACAGGGGGGAGCTGCAGCAGCCCAATAATGCTGCGGAAAAGTGTGCTACTGGTGTTCCTGCGTATTCTAGCGCTCAGCGCTGGAAGGAGAGGTCGTGTTTTGTCAAGGCGCGCTGAGAGCCGTTCTGAAGGATCCGGATTCTTCTTCAGAATGGCTCCCATCTAGGTCTGCAAGCAGCAGAGAGTCCTCCCCTGACGCATAGGCTGTGGTGTAAGTCCTGTCATGTCCCAATACATCCAGGAGAGTGCTTTACCTTTGCCTACCACACCAAACAAAACTACAATGTAAACACACACTCACGCACACACTCCCCACCCCCTTTGTATATAGCATTTACTGTAATACAATAAATTAGAGAATGTATTGTCTTTTTGTGAACTGATGAAAGTAGACAGTCCATTCATTCAGAATCTGGTTTCGGATTTTCAGAGTCATAGTACACAATATTCTGTGAGTCTTGAAAAAAAAAAATCATCCGAAACTGCTGGCAATATGGGAATACCTGTTCTGAAATAGGCTGGCAGGCAATGAGTTAATCCCTTCAAACTGTGTACAGTTGGTCTAATGTGTTGTGTACATGGCATGTTGTAAAATAGTATGGATAAAGTGAGCCTATGAGAAGAGCTAGACTCAAAGGTTCAGTGTGCTGAAGGATTATTCTTAATGCCTTCAATGTCTCTACGTATTAAGAATGAAATGAAAATAAATGTTTGTTTCTCACACTTTACACTATGTAGATTTTACAATCTCAAAAAAGTCACTTGACCATACTTTAGAAATTGCCACTGAATATAAAATCATGGTTAAGTGGAAAACAACGAATGAGTCTCAAATTACATATTATCCAGGGTTCGAGATTAGCGGCTGTCCTCTTGCCCGGGGCAACTAAAGATATGGGATATCCAAGTGTGCAAGTGATGTTTAGCTCACAGTAGTATTACTGTAACCCATTTAGGCCGATGTTCTGTCGAGTTGTGCCGCCTCAGCTGTTAATGATGTAATGCAAACCTGCGCATGCGCGTCTCACGGCAGCCGAAGCTAACCAAGATGGCGGACAATAAAGTCCGTGAATTGCTTTAAAAGTTAAAATACGAACAATTTAAGACATGAATATCACTTTTAATTAGGGATGTAAATCGGTGACCGTTTAACCGGTGGTTGACTGTCACAGCGCTAACTGGTCAAAGCTGTCGGTTAAAAAAAACAAAAGGGGAGAGGCGACGTCTCTTAATCAGAATCAGAATCAGAATCATTTTTATTGCCACGTGAGTAACAAAGTTATCACTTGGAAATTGTCTTGGCAGAGAGCGTGCCACTTCGCCATTTGCGGCGCTGTGTGCAGCAAGAAACAGCAGAGAGCAATAACATACAGTTCACAGACAATTGGATAGACACATTGTGCTTTTTATAAACCACGGATTTTTTTCTCGGGATGAGCACCTCCGGTGGCCGGCCCAATGTAGCTGTCAGAGGGGGGCGGGATCAGGGAGGGGGTGAGTAGGAAAACAATAAGGAATGGAGGGGAGGGAGGGAGCAAACACGTCTTTGCTCGACGGAGCAAAGACGCTAATAATAATAACGCTATTTTAAACCCTATTTGCACGATGTCACAAGCGGGTCCCTCTCTAGCTGTGTTCGTCAATGTATCAGTAAACTCCGGGACGGCTTTCACGCACACATACGCGCGCGAGCACACACACACACACTTCCCCCCCTCCATACGTATCATCCACACGCATCATCTGTTACCGCCAAAGTTGCACATTGGTGCGGGTCAGAACTACATTGAAGTTTATATTTACACACTCATACATACACACATACCAATCTGTTGCGCTTGTGCTGCTGGTCCTTGGCATCAGCTCCACACACATCACTTTTATTTATACTTTAGAGGAGACCTGCGAGACGCATCACTCGCTGCTCTGACCATGTGGACAAGCCGTTGTTTGGTGCTAAAAGCTGTAACCCACAGCTCAGAAGAATGGAAAGATTAAAAAAGCAGTTCTCTGTGCGCAAAGGCGCCGAAGCTGTTGCGGGTTTTGGCGCCGCTGTCTCGGCTCTGATCCAGTAGAACGTATAGCTGCACTTATGAAAAGTGGGCGGCTCGAAATGGCTGTAATTTCAAAGAACGTGGGATATTTTAAACTACGCGGTTAACCGGTTTCAACCGGTTATCGAGGCTCTGTGGTCGGTCATGAAAATTCATAGTTTTTTTCAGCCCTACTTTTAATGCAATTTGAGGCAAGATGTTTATGGTTCCATGTTGTGATATGTGGGTTTTAAGAGTAAGAGTTTCGTGTAAAGTTTGTTTTAAGCAGTCAACTGCTCCAAATCTGAATTGCACATGCGCAGAAACCCGACAGAATGGGGGGAAAAACTCTATCTAATCAAATATTTAGTTTGAACACACTATTGTTAATCATATTGAATACAGTACGATACATGCATTAAATGAAATGTATTAATTCCATTATCAACCCTACAGTTGTAAGCTGTCGAGTGCGTCCTGCGTCTATTGCGTCTGTTATGTTGCTGTTTATCGATCCTGATGGTCACACGTGAATGTATGACCAGAAGGGGGAATGTGAGATTTCATAACACTTTGAAGCAACTTTTGTTAAAGAAGCTATACCCGATTTTTTTTCTAAGTAGTTCATAAAAATGCTTTTTACTACATACAAGTTGTATCATAATACATAATTTAATTGAAAACTTGAGGTCATTGATTCCACTGTGTATAAAATTCAGGCAGTGAAAAGTGCTGAGTAGAGTCTGAGCGGGCCGCTCGTTCTCCTCCACTCACAGAACAAGAAGCGACCAGCCTGCTTAACACCAGGGCTTCGACTTCAAAATTCGAATATAATTCAAAAATAAAAAATATATACATATTTGAACAAATATTAGACAACCCTTATAATTAGAAATGTATTTAATGACTGCAAATAAAATAGTTAGCTCCCAAAGGTTTCACCGGGACGTGCTAGGCAGGTAACAGCTAAGCTAGCTAGCTGTTTCATGGTAACTTCCGGGTTTTTCGCGATCGCTTTTTGTCACTTTAAAACAGTATTTTTGTCATGAAAACATTGACAGCAAATTCTGAAATCGTCCGTGCATGTGTGTTAAGGATGTATATGTATACTGTATTGTCCGATTGACGTTTAATGGTGTTGATTGATTGATATGTATTTGTTTATTGAGCGTGGCTAGCTCCGCTAGCTTCTCTACACAGACAAGTGTGCAGAAAAACTGCACAATGTAGTGACAGGCGCTGATAGCTTGTTGTACTTGCAAAGTAATGGCAGTATTTTACACACCTGAATTACAAACAGAGATTGCATTGGGGCTGCGGTCATTATTGGTTTGAGAGTTCTGTTATCAAGAAAAAATGATCGGAAGAATTGCATTCAAGTCAATGGAGTGCTGCTGCTGTGAGGAGCTGTATAATAAATTATAATTAAATATTAGAATATACATATATATATATATATTGTGTTAGCAGTGCATTGCTT